TCAAGTTGTGCCAGGGGAGGTTTATCTTGGATATTGGAAAAAAAATCTCTTCACCCACAGGCTTGTCAGGGACTGGAACAGGCTGCCCAGGGAAGTGGTGGAGTCACCATCCCTGGAGGTTGTTACAAGGCGTGTAGATGTGGAGCTCAGGGACAGGGTTCAGTGGTGGACTTGGCAGTGCTAGGTTAATGACTGGACTTGATGATCCTAAGGGTCTTTTCCAAACAAAATGATTCTATTAATTTTTATATATATATATATATGCCTGTGTGTATATACATACATACACATATATATATATAAATATTACTGGTACCAAGTGCTCATCAAACCCATCCCAGAAATGGGACCAATAGACACTGGGCAAAGCCTCACTTGGACAACGATCTGCCTCATGGAGCCCAGAGTCAGCCAGGCATCCCCAGCAAGGGTTCACTCTACTGAGGAAATCTCATCAGGCAAAGGGGTACATGCACAGGCACTCCTCAGAGAAAGAGGCTCTATTGTGGGTAAAAAGTAAGTCCTTTTTATATAACAGAGACATAAGGAGGCAAAGGGCACCACCACCTGGAACAGCCAATTGATGCTGCTAATTTCTATTTTCCATCTGGTGCAGTCACTAAATGATGATGTTTTCTATGCTCTCAGACCAGTTTTGGTATTTGGAGACTGTTTGGCTGTTCTGTGAGTTAGAACAGCCAATGGCAGTTACTTATCCTTCTTTTCTCAGGTTGTTTTCCTCCTTTGCCAGACCTTTTTTTACCTCCACAGATGATAACTTGCTGTTACATTTCCTTGTTTTTGCACATTGCATCGATGCTATCTCAGGCTGTCTCTCGTTTCTCAGTACCCAGCTGCACTCCTCAAGGATGCTTCTGGTTCCCAAGCCTGGCTCCCAGGCTGGCAGGTGTTTTCTCTGACAGTATTTGAGCATAGGTCTTCTTCTGTTCAATATTCCCCCCCTTATAACCAGGTCGCCTTTATGGCTGCTCCCATCATCAGCCTGAAAGAATACCTCTCAGCAAAGCAGAAATGATCAGCTGCAGGGAACACTGCAGAATTTCCCTTTCTAAATAGTCCTGTTTGTGAAAGTAGCTTTTGTATAGCTACTATTAGTTGTTCTGGAACAGATCAAAAGCGACTGCACTAGCTTAGCTTCTCCTCCTGCAATACCTACTGGGGCTGAACACAGCCTATTGCGTACCATCACACTTCTGCTCCGGAGACCACGCTATAAGCAAGAACTTCGCAATTACAGCCTTCCTCAGGCTTCCTCCTGCTCCCTGTAGGGGCCAGCCTCCACCTACAGCCCTGCATTTTAACAGCATGACTGTGGATAGCATCAGCTTATGAGAAAAAAGTTCAGAAGAGGACATGGGTCACGCAGAAACAGAGGACCAAGCCTGAGGACAAAGTCAACCCAAACACACAGGCAGGGTCAGCGCTCCCAGCCTGCAACCGCTGCCAAGAGAGTCAGAGGAAAACCTGAAACCAGAGCAGGCACCAGGCTGAGTTTTGATTTGCTGCAGCATTCAAACGTGAAGCTGTACTCGTCACTGCGGTACAGACCGACCAAGAACCCACAGAGTGATTACAAACAAACAAAACATCCAGCCTGTCTAGCCCGCAGTCCAGCTACAAGCCTTCCAAAACAGAGCATTTCCCTGAGAGAGCGACCTCCAAAACTCAGATCTGGAAACAAACTTCCTCTGGGTGTTTCACATTCCTTTGGTCCTGTTCCCTAAATGCAATGTTTGTGTCGCTTGCTAAAAGAATCCACAGCAACAGGCTCTCCAAGTAAATTTAAAGGGAAGTGATTCAGTTATTTTTGTGGGATTAAGTCTTAAATAAATTTTCATAGAATAGGCTGCTGAAACTATAACATGACTGACAATTCTTGGTTAACAAAGCAATGTTGATACTGTGACATACAAATCATACTTTTAAGGACAAAAATTTCAACTCAGCTGGTTTTAATTTGGTGCTGGGTTTATCAAGATTTTGCAAGAATTTTAAGTCCGAGTAAAGCACCGTACTTAGGCAGTCACACCGATTGAAGTGCCCAGGCGGGGCTCTCTTGACACAGCACTCCTTGTGCTACAGAGATACCCACAGCCTCGCAGAGATACAGTGAACTTCACATACAAATTGCAAAAACTATGTAACAACTCTTTAATGTTTCCAGCTTGTGCTGCTCTCTCAGTCCCTGCTACGCTGCTCAGAAATAGCAGTAAGTCAGCCTCCTTTCTGCTGCTGCGAGCACTGACAACGCTTGATGAGTCTCATTCACTACGAAAAGCACAATATTCTTTCATTCTGTTATAAACCATACTCCAGAGCGGATTAAAGATCACAAATTAAGATAAATGCCTACTTGGCAGATAATATAAATCATATGATAACCCAGTAATTTAAATATAGCCTTGTGCCTCTATGCCAGACTCGATCAGATCAGAGAATGAACTGCAAGACTTTCAGATTCATATATTATGATGCAAATGAGTTTTGTAAATTGTGACCTAGTTCCCATGTTAGGAACAGTTGGGACCAACAGTAAGAACTATGCAATGAATGTGAGCAGCGGGGCAAGCAAGGAAATTAACATTTGTTCTTAATTTGAAATGGATTTTTAATCACTTCCAGGTGCCCAAAATAAAGTGCAACACACTTGTTTACTATAATCATTCTGACAGAAGAATGCATATAGGAGGCAACATGGTTCTGTTTTACTAATTGAAATGTTTGCAACATGGGTGTCAGATGAAGTGGCAGAACACAGCTCTTTCTGGATGATTTACTGAGTGCACAATGAAGGACTGTGAAATGAAGTTTTCCAACTGATCTGTTCCTCAGAACTTGTTTTTTAAAGAAAATGAGATGCACATATCCACTAAAAGTGACTGGATGTTAGATCACATCCATCTCTCCCAATCCAGTTTCTGTTTTTTTCAGCTAGAGGCCCAAGAAAGTAGCTCGCCGAAGAGCCTGCTCAGGGATTTAGCTGCATGGATGTCAGCCACCCGCTTAATGCAATTCAGTGTAGTTAGTGAAAAACACTGAACTCACAAAATTCTGCTTGCGCTGTAATACTGAGCCTACAACACACACTTCTGAACTCCAGCCTGAGGCAGCTTTCTGGAAACTCTACTGTTTTAAATGAGGGCATCAGCAAGGGTGTAACTTGTTGAAAACGAGACAGATACTCATCCTAAGCACATCTAGAGCTGGTACCATCATTGGGAAGGATTAAGCTGTAAAAGAGCTAGCTAGGGCACCGACTCTCCTGAAAAACAGGCTCTCAGCTCCCTCTGGTGGAAAAAGTAATTTTCTGCAAAACAGTTTAAGTGAGAACATCTTGTTTCTGCTACAAGCCTCAAGGCCGTGAGATAATTAGGGTGAGACAGTAAACAAATCCCAAATCCTCTGTTCACTTTGAACGGCTGGAAGTTGTTAGAAGTTGATGTGAAACATCACAACTCAAGAGACTGTTGCAGGGGGGCTGTACAAGATACACCACACTGATCAAGTTCTAGCTGTGAAAGGTGGCCAAGGGAGTCCCTGGATGGAGTTCTCCAGATGTAAATTATGATACACAAGACTGCTGAAGCAAACAGTAGCCCCGAGAAAAAGAAAACACACACACAAAGTTCTAATGTTCTCTCCACGATAACATACCCCCAAGCCCCATAAGCAGTCCTGTCATCAAGGGCAGTGGAAGCATGGTTCCAGGACACACGGAGCATGAAAGAGTAAAGTCATCACCCCCAACACCGCCAGACAGCGAGGAAGTCTTTCAGTTTTATGTTTCTGAAGTCTGACTGCCAACAGAGAGCACCATGTCACAAATACAAGAAGCGTAAGGCAAAGCCCTCAGATGCCAGCCTGTGTCCCTTGGTCTTAGACACTCTACATAGATTAACCCAACCAACAATCAGCAGAACCTGTCCTTTTCAGCTTCAGGTAACTCCAATCTCCTATTTTAAAAGAATAGTGAAGAGTCCAGTACTAGCACCAAAAAACTCTTCTCACTAGATATGCTTGTTCCTGGTCTACAGGTATTAACAAAAGGACACAGCTTTCTCTGTGTGCTTTGCATCAGCACAGGAACAGCAATAGTCTACAACTGCGTCAGCATTTGTTTTTGCCTTCTTGATATCAACAAAAATTCAAGCCAATTTCCACAACACATACACTATTTAAGGTTATTCTACCCTTTCTAATCAAAACCAATGATACAAGATATTTCTACTTCTTCTTATTAATCATGAAGAGTGGAAAGTAATTCCTAGAAGTACTCCAGCTATTGTCACAAAAAGTTAATGAACAGAAAGTACATTTTTGTTTCTCAAGGAATCAACAGCTCCACTGTAATTAAGTACACAACAACTAGTTGCTCTGACAAATTTTTGTAGCTTGTGTAAACAGAATCATGAATAACTCCTGCAGTCATAAACATACCAGAATGACTTTTATAATCCCAAGGTTCTGAAAACAGTAGTTCACACTGCCACAGAAGGAAGACTTACAGGTCCAGTGAAAGGACAACAGTAGCAAAAAAGTCTTTATTAAACAACACATTACTCAATTTCACAGTGTGGGAATTGCTTGCTCCTTGGAAACAGCAGAGTTGACTAATCTCTTGAGAGTGGGGCACCAGGTCAGGTCTGCAGGTGAAGTTTATTAAGAACAAGCAGAAGACTGGTTCCACAGGCAGAAGGAATTTGAAGGTCGGGAAAAGGAACTAAAGCAACAACAGCCCTTGGAGCATTTAGTGCAACATTTTCCAGCACAGAAAAGCTATTAAGGCTAAAAACTGGGCCTAAAGTTTTGGTTTCATACATTCACATATTAAAAAAACCCATAGAATGTACAATTTGATCTCTGTGTATGTTATTAAAAAATATTTTAATTAGCAATAGATTTTTCTCCAAAAGGGCAGCTTTCTACTGGCTGAAGTTTCTATGTATTTAACTGAAAGTCCATGATGATTTCAGCTCCTCCAGCTTTGCTTATTCACTAGAAAAGTGGCCTGCTTTCAATCTTCTGCTCGAACACCAAGTCTGCTTACATAGCTCTCCCAAGCTGCCTTCCTGTATTTCTCCGCTTCTTGAAGACGGTCTGAAGCTGACAAAATCCCACGTCCCACAATAATGATATCTGAACCTTTTTCGCTAATAACCTCTTTGGGACTTAGGTACTTCTGTCCAAGGTTATCACCTGAAACAGAGACACCATTTTTTTTTTAGTTCATACAAAACTGTAGATACTGAAAACCTTCAAAGAGGTGCTGGAGCAGAGAACAGGTATGCTGTTCTAGCTCTCACCCTAACAATCCACAGGCGTAACTAGAAACTGTGTCTCCAACTAACAAACCCCCTATTACACGGATCAAATTTGACAAAGTGCCCTCCCTTTTCATGATTTACCAATCACAACAGATGTAACAGTTGTGCAAAGCAGCACCGATCAGGACTACTGAAAAAAGCCTTAGCCTTCTTAAAACAGGAAAAACTCCCAAACCTTCACATAAAAGCTTGTGCTTTCACTTCAGGTTTCATAACAATTAAGTTTTGCAGAGAAATGCATCTCCCCTAACTGGTTCAATGATAACCTGTTTAGTCAGTATAAGACTTCAGTTCATTGATACTGCATCTATATCAGTATCAAAAGTGCTACAGTTAGACTTCTGTATTTGTTAAAAATCTTTTTTTCTACTCCTACTGAGTAGTTGTACGTATAAACTAACACATATCCGAAGACATTTCACAGGTACTAAGGACTGTGCTTTATGGTATGCACAGACCTCAGCATGTGAAAAAAAGCTGTGTAGCCTGCTGTCACCTTTCAGAGCTCCCAGGAAAGGGATGCGTACTCAGAAATCCAGAAGGCAGCCCATAATGGCAAACACAGACTCCTCCCACCAGAGAATCTGCAACCAAACCCTCTTCAGAAGTCACTTTTTCATTGAAGGCTACATCACTTACTGTGTTTACAAACAGACTATAAATATTTCAGAAAGTTACCTCCGGTTTGCAGCTGCACCCCTGGGGTTAAGTGAAGGAATTCTGGTTTATTACTAACTCTAGATCCAGAAATGAATCCAAAAACAAAATCTGAGTTGTCTTCAGCCATCTGTACCTGAAGAAGATCAGTAACAGTTACAAGTGATATACCTAAATTTAAGCTTGACTAGCCATCTGTTTCTCATCCACCCTCTCACACAATAAGCTATGCAGGGCAGGGGTTCTTGCTTTACCAATATAAATCACCCAGAGCTAACTCACCCCTCACTGATACTGCTGCGCTTGCAGCCAGGAACATGCATGTTATACTTCTTTCTATGTTAGAAACAATACAATGACTAAACTTAAACTAATTATAAATTTACTGCTTAAGAGAAAAAAAAAAAGTCCGGGGAGGGGGGCTGTGAATAGCAAATTTAACATGTTTGCTAGAATTCAGGGTGAACTCTGGCCACATTACAACAGTAGCCTACAGCTGCAACCTTTAAAGACCACGCTGTCAGATCCCCAAGTCTCCACAGGAGAAAACAAAAACCTGTAATAGTTAGAGCTGAAGAGACTTTTGGAAGTGCAAATATTAGAAGCACACAAAACCTCCCTGCCACACTTCACAAGCTTTTAACCCAAAACAAGACTGTCTACTTACTGCAGCTTTTGTGTATTCACCCGTTGCAAGTGACCCTTGGGAACTCATCTCGGCAATCAGAAGACAGCCCCGCTGGAGAGGAAGACCTACTTCCTTCAGACCTTTCACAACTCCAGAGCCTGGAACCACATGGGCGTTAATGATGTCTGACCAGGATGCGATTCTGAACACACCACCTGAGAACACGGGTAGGAAGACAAAGGCAAAGTGTTATTAGAAATGTATGAAACAGGAAATACCATTTAAACAAAACAAGCTGAACAACAAATCCTTCACATTTTAAAAGACAGTTTTACTACTGAAGCTTGGCAGTTACAAGTTCAGTCTCAGACAGTCCCAACAGCTGTCTAGCCACACAGGATAATCTCTCAGTTTTACTTTCCACAAACACTTCTTGGTATCTCACCTCTAATATTCATTGAGGCATTTATGGTAACCTAAAAACCTCCTGTCACAGGTGCTACCTTTCAACATAGCATGCAGATCACATGGGACATATCGATTAGAAAAAAACCACAGTTCTACAGTTGCAGGTATCGAATGAGAGCCATAACATGCACACAAGCATACCACAGCAGGATGTCTTAAGAAGCCACACTGCATTTTCTCATGGCAAACTACTCTGAAGTACTTACTGAGCACAACCATAGAGTCATAAAAAGGTTTAGGTTGGAAGGGACCTCTGCAGGTCACGCCCTCTCAGCAGGGTTAACTTCAAAGCTAGAGCTTGCTCAGGGCCTTGTCCCCTTGAGTCTTCTCCAAGGCTGGAGATTCCACAATCTCTCCCTCCTGGCAACCTGTGCCAGTGCTGCAGATACACACACTGGCAGCACAGCTACAGTAAATCAAAGTTGATGATAATCACCTTCATACTGATGCTTTACTGTGTTTCCAATGTCTGCAAATTTCCTGTCTTCAAAAATCAAGAATTCATGTTGATCTGCAAGCGTTCTCAACTCCTTTACTACCTCGGGGGTAAAATCATTCAGGATGTCTATGTGAGTCTTCAGGATACAGATGCTGGGGCCCAGGATGGCAGCTAACTGCAGCAGCTCTGCGGAGCTGGTGACATCGGCAGAAAGGCACAAGTTCGTTTGCTTCTTTTCCATGAGCGTGAGAAGCCTGGCTGCAATAGGATGTACCCCTGGCAGCTTCGCACGAGCGCTGAAGCTCAGCTCCTCACACGGTCTCCTCACAGGAGTGAGGCCGTTCTGAGCCACTGGCTCAAACACACTTCCCTGAATGAATTTCTTCACCTTTTCAACCATCTCAGCAGCCACTTCTCCCTGCTGATGGAGAATCTCCAACACCCCAGACAACGTGCACACAGAGTGCAGGCAAATTCCACGTTCCTCTAACCTGGCCTTCCCGCCCTGCTCCCTGTCCAACAGCACTACGGCATCTGTGACTTTTAACCCTTCTTTCCAAAGAACTTCTGCAGTTTCCAGCACGCTAGATCCACTTGTTACCACATCTTCAATGATCAAGCACGTTTCTCCTGGATTAATGGTGCCTTCCACCAGCCGCTTAGTACCTTAAAAATAAAAGACAAACACCCCACTAAATGAAGAAAGTTTAAAAGACTCCAAAAAACCCCAGAGCAATAAAACTTAACTTGCTACGCTAATGTAAAGATCAGATTTTTTCCACAGACAAGCATGCACTGCAGCATATCCTGAAGTCCAACGGATTTGGACTTCAAGAGAATAGGAATTTCACATTCACTGTCAGTACAGAGAGGTAATTTGTTTAGTTATTACCTGATAATAACTAAATAAAAGTTATCACACTTCCTACCACAGTTCAGTCACTGACTTGTGATTCAATTCCTAAAGACTGTTACTTCTCCAAGTGAATAAAATACTTTTTTATGTTTCCAGGAGTTACGTTCAATTAACAAAACTGACACATTGTTAACTGCACAAATTTAGATCTTTGACTGACTACTGAAGTTCATTATTGCCATGAACTGAATGCTCAGAATTGCAAAATTATTTTCTCCACTTGTTTAAAGTATCTTTAAAGCAGACAAGTTATTGGTACTCCTCAGCATTATTTCCTGTTTTCCACAGACATTATTCAGTGCTTACCATGCCTGTCAGAACAATTAGAAGGAGTAAAGCCCCAAATGCCTTTGCCCTAACCAATGACAGGCACTCGACCATGAAAGGCCTCCCGGGGAGCAACAACAAAGGATGCCTGGCTTTCCCAGGAAGCAGCAGGAGAACATTATGCAGCAAGTGTGGTGCTTAGACCATGACAGCCTAGAAAAGGAGCAAGACATACAGCTTTGCAATGGATGGGACACTGGAAACCTTGTGCCAGTCAATTAATTGCTGTCACAATTGACCTGGCCTTCACAAGGAACAGCAAACGTTTTCATGCCTGGCACACTAACACCAGAGTAACATTTAGCTGTGACAAGCATCCTTTCCAACTGAATACTGTAGGAAGAGGATAGCTTTTATCATATGCTGAAATCCAGTTGCTATGGTAGGTTAATGCTTTAGTCTGCTCTCCCCCTTGCCTCCACCAAAATACAACTAGTTCAATGGGTAAAGAACTGACTGCTTCTCACCTGGTCCACCTTGCCCACTGATTACAGGACTGTAGGATATGAAAAAAGGAGTTTGAGATGCAAATGAAGATGAGACTATAACAGGTTCCTCTTAAAGTTGATACACAAAAAGTCCCGTTTAGGGGTGAAATGTAACACTGGTCTCAGCGTAACAGAGAAACTGAGTTACAAATCTCAGTTTCTGGAAAAGGCAAATAACCCTGAACCATGGTAATGGTGCCTAGGAAAAAAGACATTGCTGAAACCAAAAAAGAAACGGAACTCCCTCTTCAAGAGTCTCCAAATCTGCTACAGCAGGATTCAAGCTGCACCTTAATCAGCAACCAGGTGGGAGAGCCTGACCAGACTGGGATGCTGTGGGAGGTATGTTTTAGGGCGAAAAGGGGCTGCTTTGTGAACTGGAATGGTAGCCTTAAACTGGAATGGAAATGCTGCACCTTACAGCAGAACCACAACTAGACAAAGTCACTTCACAAACAAGATAACAAGTACACACAAATGCTTGATTGGAAGGTTTTACCATAGTCTTTTGCTTCCTTCCTCCGTATGAGCATTGGGATCTGCTTTTCAGAGCAGATAATTGTGGCCAAGGGCAGCGCTGTGTAAGAACGCCACACACGGAGTCAAACCGGAGCCCCGCATCTTGGGCTGTTTGAAAGAGAAGATCCGCAACCTGAAAAGGAAAACCAGGTCCTTTTTGAGAGTCAGCCGGAGCGATCACGACTGAACACCAGCACTGCTGAAGGCAGCAACGCACCCGCAGGAACTCCTCTCTCCTTCACACGACGGGACAGCCCGCAGCCAGCCCGACACCTGCCCCCGCAGCGCTCCCCTGCCTTCCCCCTCCTGTGGCTCAAGGAGCCCTTTCACCCCCCGCCTGAGACAGGGAGACCCCGAG